GCTACAAAACTGCATGCCCAAAATATTAAAAAAAAAAACGAATTTAAAAGTTCGAAATTTTTACATAAGTTTGTTGGTTTTTTCAAATGTTCCACAAAGATTCAGACTTGGATTCATATGGTTTTTGTTGAAAATTATACTGTACTTTTTTAAACAAATATTTAAAAGTAAAAAATATTAATTTTTTTTTTAATTTGTTTTTAAATTTCTCATTTGAGGTAATATATTTTAAGCGCAATTTTGTCGAGCTCTGAGGGAGGGGCGATCGCCCCATGTCCCTTCCCTGTATCCGCCACTGCCTTCTCCTTATCAACCCTGATCAGATTTTACCGTGGCTTCAGTTAAAACGAGGAGGTTGTGCGCACATGCCCTGTAGTGAAAAGCTGAACCAGTATGCACAAATTCCAGTTCATGAACTATTATTTAAGGATAAAAAAGTTATACCAGTTCTCCGCAGTGAAATGCAAAACCAGCCAGTATATCAGTAGTAGTAGTATCAGCGCTACCTGTCTTTGAATAGGCACAACCAAAGCTAAAATGCGGTTAATTGCTTTCATCTCAAATGCCGGCTGTGGCGTCAAGTGAGCGAACACTACCGATTCTGGTTCTGACATCTCAGGTTGGAGTGCGCGTGGAGGTTGTTAAAGTATACAGTATATTTTGCTTAGCTGCACATCCTTCTTTGCATGAAAAACTTGTGCACTTAACCGAAAAAGGCACTTAAGCGAATTTTCTTTACTACTTCAATGAGGAAGGTATCCAAATCCCTATGAAACCAAATAATGGAGAAGCACTTATGTAGCACGTAGAAATTAGAAATTACATAAATTAATAACCATTTTCGTTGTTCTGCGAGCTGAACAAAATAAATAAAAAGTTGTAAAATTAGGTAATTGTAGCGCCAGTTCAGGTAAACGTAATACTTTCTTTGATAATTGATACTAGTCGCACAATTTTTAAAGCAGGTATCGCCAATGTGCAGGTATGCTAAATGCATCTATCGGAGCAGTTTCCTTATAAATGTTAAAAATAATGCCTCTGATGCGCATTTTGGGGTAGGTATCTTAAATGTGCACTTAAGCATAGACGCAGCAAAGCAAAATATACTGTAGTAAGTAAATTAATTTAAATAATTATTTCAATTAAAATATAAAATTAAACTTTTACATAAATTTAATTTGATTTGGAAAACACCATAAAAAAATTATGAGAAATAATTTTTTGTTCTTTTTAAAACAACAAATTTACAATATACACAAGAGATTAAAGAAAAAGCATTACAGGAAAGCGCAAGGACAACCCCAATTTTCGACATAAACTATGCGCCTGTAGAGCATGCAAACAACGCAACATGCCTCGGCAGCAGCTTATGGCCAGTGTTGCCGTTTTGATCCATATACTTCAAAGGAGATACTTAAATTTTCGCGTAGTACGATCTTTGAAGCGTCACAAAGAGGAAGTATACATATGCATACATAGGTTCGTTCGCGTAGCTGTTAATTGTTCATGTTTAACCAAAACTTACAAGTTTTTGCGTTCGCGTACGCAAAAAACTTGCAAAGTAGGGGAAATTGAGAGAGCAAAGTGACATTTCATTTTGAGGGGAAGCTGTTGGTTTCTGCTGGAAAAATTTTTGCCAACAGCAATTTGCCAACAGGAAAACAGCTGATCAAAAACAGCTGGTTGGCATTTACGCAAATCACAAAATAGAATTTGATGGTTTGGAAGTTAAAAATTACAAAATGCGACTAATTAAACTTGTAAGAAATAAGTAGTTATATGTTTAATCAATAAACTGTGTCAGTATAACACTTTGTGATAACTTTTCGTACGTTTTAAATTTTACACTTTTGAATGTAAATAAAAATTATATCAGCTGTTCGTCTAACTTGCAAGTTTCTCCAAATTTTCTGTTCGCGTACTATTTTGGATATTTCTCTCTTGTGAGCGAACAGATGACATTTCGCCGGAATTTGGCAGTTGGTTGGTTTCTGCTAGAGATTTTAAACGAACGCACCTCATATCTGTGTTCATATGGAATAGTAGCGAATGTCGAAAAGCTGGCTGTAGTATAATGCGGCATTCGCAGCATACGATTGCGAATGACTCACTGGCTCCGAACCGTTTAAGAACTTTTGGCAAATAAACGTGCAGTTCCGATACTAGCAAGTCAATATTCTTATTAAGTCTCATCAAAACATTCCTTGTCGTTCAAAGGATAAAGGGAATGCCGCATTGTACTAAAGCCAGCTACTGTACATAAGCTACTATTCCATACGAACACAGATATGTATGCTATAACAGCTTTTAAAATTTGATCGAAAATATTGAAAATTTTGTGGTCAAATAAGTTTAAAAAGTGCTTTAACGAGACTATTGAATAATGAGCTGACTGCATTAATTTTTACTTTACTTTACTTGCCTCATACAAAGCACTGCGGCTGCAGAGCGTAGGTATATTTTCAGATTTAAAATTTATCCAGTATGAAAAGAGAAGTATACTTTTTGACATAATTTCCAACGGGTTTAACTTGGAATGTATCATATAATTCGATAACACCGGCACACAAAAAAAGTGGTGCGTGCTTTTAACCAGACCCACCATCTGAGGAGCGTTTGACTCGTATACCTCCTAAATTTCGAGTTAATTGCGAAATTAAAAAAAGGCAAAAAACTCGCAATTTACTCGAAATTTTGAGAGTGTACGAGTCAAACGGATCTCAGAATCGGATTCAATGGGCCGAAATACATGTCGGTAAGTCGGCCTGGTTAAAGGCACACACCCCTTTTTTGTGCCGGTTTAATTATTTTTGTTAAAGTTTCTGTGAAATCTGTACATAATATTTTGTTCGTCTTTATACAAGATTACAAACAATAATTTATATTTTGTTAGATTGTCTTTATGTGAATACATACATACCCTGCAGGGAAAGCTACCAGTTGTGAACCAGAATGCTACTAGTTTGCGGTTCAGCCCAACTAGTTCACGTTGTATCCTTTTTCAATGTTAGCGACTGGTATTTTTAACATGGCGGTGTCATAGGAATTGCCAATTGTCCGCTCCTGCATCAGCACACTACCAGTAGAAATACTAGAAGCATCATACCAGTTGACTATATACTACGTTTATACGCATGCATAAGTCGCTTTAATTCATTTCGCCGCGATTCAAAACATATGTATAAACTGAATTTCAATTCGCTTTGAAAGAGCGAAGTGTTTTGGCTCACAATCCATTTCAAATCGGTAGTTTATTTCTCCAGACAGTTAGAAAGAGTGTATAAACACCGCTCTCACTCAAAGTGAATTGGAGGTCAGCTGTTCCGCTCAAATTCCAAATAATCGCATCAGTATTTAAAAGCTGATTAATAATAATCGATCTTTTTCTTTGCCACGATTTTATAATGCCGAATAAAATTAGATTTTTATCACTTTCCATTATGTTAACTTATAAAATGTCAAATGAAAACAGCTTATTTTGTTTGCTTTTGAAGACGGTTACTTTGATGCCGATATAAAGCCGTAAGTATAAGCACTAGAGCGAAATGTGCCTATTCATCCCCCGTGAAAAGCATAAGTATGTCATTTTGCTCGCGGCGCTGCAACAGTGGTAATGGTCGACAGAGTAAAGCTTTGGCACGCCAAATCAAGAAATCTGAGTTCGAATCTCAGGGTGCGAATCTTTTTTAATTTTTTTTATTTTTTTTTTTCATTTATATTCCTTGTGTAATTTTTAAATTTATTGTTTTAAAAAGAAAAAATTATTTATTTTCATTTTTTACGGTATTTAAGTATTTAGGTTTTTTCCAAATCAAACTAAATTTATGTTCAGTTTTTATTTTATATTTAAATTAAAATAATTATTTCAAATCATTTCACTTACTTTACTTTAACAACCTCCACGCGCACTCGAACCTGAGATCTCTGAACCAGAATCGACGCCACAGCCGACATTTGCGATGAAAGCAATTAACCGCATTTTAGTCTTGGTTGTGCCTATTCAAAGACAGATGTCGCTAATCGCATAAGTTGTTCGAAATCGCCGAAATGGTAGGCCGTCGCTTTGGCACATACAAATTAATGAACTAGTATTTATACTGGCTGGTTTGGCATTTCACTGCGGAGAACTGGTACAATTGTAGTCCACGACGATCTGGTATGACTTCTCCATTTAATACCAGTTTTCTTACTAGAATTTCTACCAACTGGTTTACTTTTTTCTATGAGGAACTGGTATAATTATGGTTCATAACGAACTGGTATGACTTATCCTTAAATAATAGTTCATGAACTGGAATTTGTGCATACTGGTTCAGCTTTTCACTACAGGGTATGTATGTGTATGAATGTAAATTACATGATTTTTTAGTTATTGCATTGTTGACAATAATAAAAAGCAAAGATCTAAAACCAAATAGCATTTTTTTACATTTTTTTTTCTAACTTGATACTTAAAAAAAATTGTGTGATACATTTGATCCAATTTTAGATTTTTTACGATACATTTTCCCATGACGTCGAGGCAACACTGCTTATGGCAGACTGATTCGTTGGTTGCAAGGCGAATTTATATAAGGTGGTGTTACTAGCTCAGCTGATTTTGTGTATGTGTTTCGCCGCACGGCTTCTGTTATCAAACTGAAAAAATTTGTTTGAATTTCTACACACACGCTTACAGATTTTGACAGTTTATGCCGCCAAAGCAAAAACAAAATACATGTAAATTTTCGTATTTTTACTCCTGCTATCACCTTATATTAATTCGCCTTGGTTGGTTGAATTCCGTTTTTGTTCCACAAAATAATGTGTGAGCATATACATACGTGTGAAAAGCATACAGTTAAGCTGTACGCGTGATATGAAATACCCATTACTGGTTTAGAAGAAAACTATTGCTACTTGTAACTCACGTCACTTGTAATACCAAAGCGTTTTTATTGAAAAATATTACGATAGATTAATCTATTTCGTATATTGCTAATTCCGCGTTCTCATTTTAGGTATTGGTTACGCTGCTGCTGTAATGTCGTGTTGGATGAACGTTTACTATATAGTAATTTTGGCGTGGGCCGTGTTTTATTTCTTCATGTCCATGAGAGCGGGTAAGAATAAATGATAGGCAAAACTTGCCAAACTAGAGTTAACCAAAATACCTAAATTTTAGTAATTAATCTTACTTTTATTAAAAGCGTATTTTCGTATCTATAAGTATTATTTATGTGAGTATACTGTCCAATAAAAAATTTTAGTTTTTGGCACATTTTTCTAAATACCTTTATTCCCTAGCGCAAACTCCCTTTCTCAAACTCTACACCCTGATTCACTTATAAGGGCACATTTTTTTTCATTTATATCTGAACATACATAAATATATCTGAACTCGTGGTCATCGGGGCAGCTTCATTTTAATCTCGTTTCGAAGAAAAGCGATGAAAATGATGAAGACACCTTTTTAATTTGGTTTTTATGCGGTTATGAGGTGAGTTTGGTCAAAGGCTGTGGTACGCTCAACGAACCCAGACTCGGACGGGCGTCCCACTTCTCCCGCCGAAATAATACTGAATATGGGTATTCTCGTTGTCTTGCACGTTGCACGAATTCCACGAAAAGCCAAAATACTATTCCAAATTTGCAAGAGTATGTACGAGAGCACCCCATTGGTAGCAAGCAGTGGAATTCTGTATCAAATACAATAACAAAATACAGCAAAAAATTAAGTGAGCGAAATGAGAGGAACGATAGAAATGTGTAGAAATTCCAACAAAAAAACAGCTAGCACAAGGTCGCATTTATCGCTATGCTTTTTTACAAAATATATGCCTGGCTTTAAACGTTGCATAATTTGCAGCGATCGGAAATGTTGTCTCCCATGTATTTTGTTGTTGCGTGTTTGCATGTGTTGCAATCCATGCAACGTGCAACGTGCAACGGCTTTGCAAGATTTCGAGAATACCCCTAATAATTTAGTGTATTAACTTCGAACACGCACAAGCCAACGCATCTCTATGACCAGAGGGCCGCCAACCTTGCGTTCAGGAAGCAAGAGAGAGTAACTACCCACCAAAAAATTTGCGCCTTATATAAGGCTTATAGATCATATAAAATAAACCCGTTTGCACCACGTTACACTTCACTTCATAATTAAGATAAGACAAGTCGTACATTTTATGTTCCGTCTTGGCAGCAACCAATTGATTCAAGCATCTTTGCACACTCAGCTACACTGAGAAAAAGGATTAGTTCCGACAACTAAAGATATTTAGTTCCCGAATTTCGACAGTATTTGGGAACTGTTACCAAGGATTGGGAACTATGGGAAAATTTTAGTGAAATTCGACACGAAAAAAAAATAAATTAAAGTGAAGACCCAAACCCGCGCACTCTTATAGTTTTTAAGTAATTTGTTGTTAAAGTTGGGAAATTCACCAAATATGTTGATGCAAATTGCATCAATTTTATCATCCAAAAGTGCGTGAATAGATAAATCGGGCGATTTTTTATTCCAAATTTTCCCTTTTTAAGGTTTTTTTTCACTAAGTAGAATTCTCCTTTCTGCTTTGCGAAGAAAAGGGGCTGAACACCTTTTGCTGAGAACACCTTTCTGTGTAGGCGGCCTTCGGCCACGCTTAGGGATTACAACCCTCACAAAGTAGAATTCTCTTTCTGTTTTGCGAAGAAAAGGGGCTGAACACCTTTTGTAGAGAACACCTTTCTGTGTAGGCGGCCTTCGGCCACGCTTAGGGATTATAACCCTCACAAAGTAGAATTCTCTTTCTGTTTTGTGAAGAAAAGGGGCTGAACACCTTTTGCAGAGAAAACCTTTCTGCGTAGTGAAATGGGTTAACGCGCTTTATATTGTTAAAAAATAAAATAAAATACATTTAATGTACACAAATCACACGTGAACATTGAAAAGATCGTGCATTTATGCAAGTACAAGTGATAGCTGCCGCTGTCGGCCGCTGTGGTGTAGTGGTAAGCAGTGCGCGCTTCCACTCCGCAGCACCCGGGTTCAAACCCTGGTCAGCGCAACATCGCAAAAAATATAGAAATAAGGTTTCTTCTTAACAGCGGTCGTCCGTCGGCAGGCAATGGCAAACCTCCGAGTGTATTTCTGCCATGAAAAACAGCTTCTCATAAAAATACAGTCGCCGTTCGTAGCCGTCGTAAAACTGTAGGTCCCTGCGCTTTGTGTGACAATATCAAGGCGCACGCCACAAGTCGGAGGATGAGCTCGGCCAAACACTAACATATGTGTAAGCGCCAATCTATTATTATTATTATTATTATTATTAAGTGAAAGCTGCACTTTTTGTATGAAAATTTGCTAATGGAAGTGCAAAATATCTAAACAAAAAATTACTTAAATACTAGTGAGAATTTATGTAAACATATCTGTTTCTTAGCATCGCCGTAAAGTTTAATGAGAAAATTCGTTATAGTTTTGCTAAAACACACACATGTCGACTAAAGTCAACCCGGACCTATTACCATGGGTTTGTAATTATAACTAAATATATTAAAGCTTCTAATATTAATCTAGGTTGTACCAAATCGTTAATTTAGTTGAAAGGTTTGGTAAATACTAATAAATATTTCTTTGAAGCATATTTCTACAAATTCCATTCAACTTAACGTATGGTTCATAAAAGGATGGTATTAAGCTCTGCTAATGCAGATAAAATAAGGTAAGTCTCCCCCCGAAACGGCGATCTTTTATTTTAGTACATATGTATGTATTTATGAACAAAAATTGTTGAAGGAAAGCATGTCCAAAATACAACCATGCATTTACAACCGTGCTTTTAGTTAAATTTAATTCGTTCTAGAATTGTAACCAAATCGTAAATTTTCACTGCTGACACTCATTTGAAAGAGAAAGAAAAATAGGAGAGACAATTTTTGTCAATTAAGATAATCTATCAGTTAACAAATACTCCCGTTACACTTTGAAACCAGATCAAAATCTTTTAAGAAACCTCAAACTAGTAGAATTAAACAATTTAAAAGCAGTTGTGTTTTAAATTGTAATTTTAAGTTGTTGTTATCAATTACAAATTAACTTTTTAACCGAATTCAAAAAAAGGAGAAAGCTATCAATTCGTCGGGATATTATTCTGCATTATCCTGAGTTTCGCACGAAAAAACATTCACCCGAAAATTTTTCATCCGCCCATAGTAAAAACATGGAAACGAAAAGTGAAAAGTGAACCAGTTCGGAGAAAATGAAACTCATGATAAGGCTGATTATTTTGTTTATATATGAATGTTATCGCATACCTTTGGACCACGTTAAGCGATTTCTATACTTCTTTCTTAAAGAAAAGGTGGTACCTCAGAGGTGATCCCGTACTAATTCGGTTTAGATGCGCTCATTTGATAATGAAGAAATTACGGTAATCTCAAATTTTTACATCAGGAAGTCGGTTTTTTTCTTGCTCAAAAATTACTTGTATTAACCCATATGCAATGGGAACTCACAATGGATATATAACGCGTTGTCGTGTTTTTTGTAATTTTGTTTTTATTTTTTATTATTAAAAAAGTATAATAAATAAAAATCTGACGTTTTTTGGCCGAAATTACGATTTTTTTTTTAAATTTACGATTTTTGAGCGGAAGTTTTCGGCAACGCTGGAGCCACCCCTAACGAATGTTGAGCGCTCTCTGAGCACATGTGTGTTTCACATACGAAGAGCGCCAGCTGAGCAATGCACACAGACCCACTTATTGAATCGTTTGAATATGTTAGTATGCCGACAATTGCATAAGAACGATTCAATGAATGAGACTGGGTGCGTGGAAATCATTGCTGCGCTACCGCTGTTCGTAGATTGGTGAAACACGCATGTGGTCACAGAGCGCTCAGTAAAAGTGCCCACACTCACTGACGTGTACGTATGTCGTGTCTGTTTGACGTATCAACGTATAAAATTTACTGTTGATAGAGAGAGAGAGAGAGAAGCAGTACATGTCATGCGTAACCGTCGCACGTACACTATGGTGAATTTTCATTTACATCAGGATTCAATAATAGGAGCGTTCCTTATCTCCCAGAAATAGTCAGAAAAGTCCAAAAAGCGTTCCTTAACTCGGAAATGACAGCAAAAATGGGAGAGCAACAGTCAGTGAGAGTGACTCTAATCAGTCCGAAGTAGTCAGATTTAGTCAGAAGAATTTTTTCTGGCAAAATCCTGAAAAGTGTCAAACTCAACTGAATTTAAATTAACGGAAATTAAAGAATACGCTAAAAGTGAGAATAATCTAAGAAGTAAAAGAAATGAATTGAGATTGGAAGGAGGCAAAAAATAATTGATATAGCAAGTGTTTATTGTGCTTGTGCTTGTGTGAATGTGTTTTGTACATACATTTCTGTTCTTATTTGACGTTAGTTTTGTTGTTGCCATTCTTTGGACTAAAAATTTGGTTTTTTGCGTTCCTTTACTTTTCCTGTTATTCTCTTTTAGAGAGCGCATTTTGCTTACGCTCTGGCATTTTGACACTTTTCAGATTTTAGTCCAAAAAGATAAGGAATGAACCTAATACAAGGTTCGATAAACTGACAGTTGTCTCTCTCGCACCGCTCCCTTAGCAGTGGCACCGTGTTGTTTCTTTGCAAATTTACTTGGAAAAAGTGTAGCTTTGCTGTGAAATAGAAGTATAAGCTTTTGTGCAATATGTTTATTTGTATATGCATGTGAAGCACATTTAACTGATGAAAACATAACTTGTTTTTAAATTGGATGTTTACATAAATCTCATAGTAGTTTTATTTTAATTTTGAGTCCTTTTGCAATTTTTATACAGCTAAATAGCACATAAATTACGTAATTCATGTAGATGTATAAATATTTCGTTCAATATTTCGTTTAAAATGCCAGATTTCCTGCAAATACATAAGAATTTACAAAAGGAATTTCACTACTAATTGCCCACCTTGCGTACTTTTCTACTACCATTTTCGCAACAAGGGATTGCGTTCTTCACCTTTCTCTGTCCTTCGTAAATGCAACCTTTTGTAAGGGAGTGTCAAACCGCGGCTGTCAATAATTATCTACCCTTGTATTATTGAATCATGCATTTACATGGCGCTCTCATAAGT